AACCACCGTCTCCTTACAAGAATGAAGTACCAGTTAAAATGCAGACAGCAAATTGGTTTTGGATGAAAAGAATTAAAAATTTAATAATAAAAGTTATCATTAATTAATATCTAATAATTAATTAATTCCTAATTTTAATAATTTATCTATGAAAACCAAGTACTTTACAATTATTAAATAACAATAATCTAAAGTCAAATTCCGTAAAAATAAAATTGTTTCAAATATATTTTCCAACTTGACATTTGTATTGATTTTAATTATTACTTTTATTATTGTCAACTATGAATTTTATCTCGTGATAATGCAATTTAAGAAACTTGATGAATTTCGTAAAAAATATTGATTTAATCTTTATGTTGCAAATATGCATTTTAACTAGTATTTTACTCTTGTAAGGAGACGGTGGGTGCTCACTTCGGGAATGATTTTCCGATCCAAGGGGGTGAACATCAAAATCTCGTTGTGCATATTTTGAATGATTACTTAACAGTTATTATCAATATTTTATTAGACAATGACTATTCTTTACCCTTTATTTTTGACACAATCAATCAAAGAATAAAATGCTCATTAAGAAACTATAAAAATACACACAGTACAAAAAGATAATAAAGACAAAGAAAGTGCATTTTGGCTCACAGTATGGCTCATTCATTCCTGTCCATTCAGAAAAATTTAAACGATTCAACAAAACCGGATGGATTCAACAATCCGAATAAAATGGACAAATATATTAAGATACAAAAAGTTTTACCCCACACATCCAAAAATAATGTGGTATACAAAATTCAATTTAATGATTGCGAAGCTTCTTACGTAGGACAGACAGATAGGCAATTGAAGACAAGAATAAATGAACATCGTAATCATATTAGACATATAATACATCCGTTCGATCAGTAATAACCGAACATAGGTTAAACTATGACCATGAGTTTCAATAGGACAATGTAAAAATTCTTGATGAAGAACCCTGTTATAGAAGGCGTTTAGTTTCGGAGAAAACAAATACTAAAAAACAGAAACACAGTTTAAAAAATTTACAAACTAACACAGAAGGTCTCCATAAAGAGTATATACCTATTGTAAATAAAATTTGATCTTTCAATATAAATTCTTACCATTTGGTTTAGTCTGTGTTGATCTATCACAGTGGTTATAGATACCTCGGATGACAATGATTATACACGATGTTCTGTGTTAAAGCTTTTAGTTCGATTATCACATTGTCTATAATTTATTTTATATTTATTTTGTATTGGTCCTTTGATATCTCTTGACAGTTTGACTATTATTTTTGTACAAAGATAAGATAAGCAGATTTTCATAAGATTATAAGTATTTGTAAGTAGTTTTTAATTAGTTATTAAGTTATTATTATTTTGCTAATGGTTTAATTATACTGTTAAGCCTGGTCTACAATTGCGTAAATGTAGTTATAAGTGATCGTAGTTGTAAGAATTCTCCAATCACAGTTGAATATTTTCCTAGTATTCAACTGTAATTGGTCAATTATTACAATAACAACTACATTTATGCAATTGTAGATTGGGCTCTTTATATGTAACTTATAGATTTATTATTTAAAAATTGACTCTTACAATGCACTTCTTTTAATGTTGATCAAGAATCTATCACATGTGAATGCAAATCTCTCAGTCAGCACTTCTCGAAATCTCGGACAAATCGCGAAATATGAAGTAGCATCCTTGTTTACATAAAACATTACAATAATACATTAATGTTATATATGTAAGTTATTTTGAAATATATTTGCTATTATTAATAAAATGGTAAATTAGTAATAATATTTATATATGTGACTATATACATATATATATAATCTATATACGCCATAATGTTATAACATACATTTACACAATTAATATAATTTATGAGAAATTCTCATACTTTAAAACAATTGCATTTCAAGCAAAACAAATTAATTAGCTTGCACATATTACAATAATTTATACATGTTGGATTAAAATTATTATTTTTACTTTTTTTTTCCATAGAAATTTAAATTCGTAGTAAAAGATGGCTTCAATAAAATTAGTACCATTCGAGGAAGAATTAAAGAAAAATCCGGAATTGAAAGAGTTAGATATACAAATATTGAGAGAATGGTGTAAAAAACAGCTTCATCTACCCAAGATGACAGATAGCGAATTATTTATTGTATCGCGAATCTGTTTATGCAATTTCTTTGTACAGCAGAATTTAAATAAATTTCTTTATTAACATTAGAATGAAATTGCACTTTTATTTGTACTCTACGAAAATCAATGTCGAATTCTAAATTCTAATTTGCAATCCTCAGTCTCCGTAATGTAATGTATAGTACAACATGGATTTCTTGCAAAAGTTACACTCTAGCAAATACTAACTAATAACAATAATCGTTATAAATATATTTTCCTCACATCAGTTTAACTATATAATAGCTGCAATCAGCAAAGATAGTTGATCAGTGAGTGATTCTCTGGTAAACAAACACAAAGTCATAATAAAATCATAATGATATTACGAACGTCATCATGACATCAATTGATACTTAAAAATAAAATTATAAGTAACAAATAATTCTATGATATCTTTATGTTATTACTATGACTTTCATGTTCTACGTGGGTCAATCCTTTGTCGGATCTAAGTGTAGTAAGAACAAATTGTATTAAAGAATTTACTCATAAAGCTCATTCTACAATCGCGTAAATGTAGTTGTAAGAATTGACTAATAACAGTCGAACATTTTTTCGTATTTCACTGTGATTGGTTAATTCGTACAACTACAACCATTTACAACTACGCTTACGCAATTGTAGAATGGGCTTTAGATTTTCTGATAAAACGCACTCATATATGTTGTGTAATAGTTACATTATTGAATGGAAAATTAACAAAGTTGTGTAACTCTAGTTGTGTTTGCTGGAACGCATATTTTTATGAAAAACGCGCACTAAAACGTAAATAAACTTTTACGTAATACGCTGTGTTGCCACATTTCATTATCACAATATAAAAATCTAACATATGTGAATGCAGATCTTTCAATCAGTACTTCTTGAGATCTCGGAAAAATTGCGAAATATCAAGTGGCTTCCTTATAAAACATTTATGGAAGTTATTTTGAAATATGTTTTATTTGCATATCAATAAACTGATAAATTAGTATAAATAATATTTGTGTATTTGACTGTATACATAGTCTATATACATCATAATATTCTAATATACGTTTACACAATTAAAATAATTTATGAGAAATTCTTCTTATAATACCATAGGAAATACCTTAGGACAAATGTATTTCAAGTGAAAACAAGTTAATTAGTTTGCATATACTACAATAATTTATACATGTTGAATTTTATTAAAATTATTACTTTCACTTCCATAGAAATTTAAATTCGTAATAAAGAGTGGCTTCAATAAAATTAGTACCATTCGGGGAAGAATTATTTCATCGCGCGTGCACGTAATGTGCTCTATACCGCAACGCTTTTGCGTGCGGGAAATAGCCAATACTTCAAGCCGTTGAGTTATTTCTCTAACCCCACTCTTCTGTGCAAAAACTTTGCGGTATAGGCACATTACGACGAGCACTTGTAATGAAAAATTCTATGTAAAACGAGTGGGGGCTTATTTGTTTATAGCTCGGGACGTCCCGCGTTATAAACGACTATCCCCCACTCGTTACACAATGTACTAAAGCAGAATCCATGCAGAATTGAAAAAGTCTTATACACAAATATTGAGAGAATGGTGCAAAAAACAGCCTCATATGACACCAAGATGACAGACAGCGAATTAATTATTGTAGGGCGGTATAACACGTGCCATCGGAGGCACAGAATTTTTCCCATTCAAGCACTTAGAGTGCTGTCAAATCGAGCGAAATTTACGGAACGGAACAGTGAGACCAATCGGAACTCTGCAATCATTACTCTGCTTTCCTTTCTGCGATAGTGACTGGTCTCACTGTTCCGTTGAATGATTATATGTGGTTTAAAGCTTATTTTTTAAATGATTTTATTTAAAGTTGCATCTTGTCATTATATTATTATAATTAGAGAAAAGTTATTGAGATTATTTATCATTAAATAATCAATATAAAGTTTAATAATTGTTGTATTTTGAGTAAATATAGCAAAATGTATCATGTAGTGACACATTTTTAATTGAAAATGTGTCTTTCCCGATATATACTTTTCCAAAGTATACATGCTTTCAGCGTATTGACTTTAGATAAATCAGGCTGGTAAGTTATAGGCAGCGATCCTGCTGAATTACAAGCAGACGCGGCGCCCGCGACGCAGTTACTATACAGTCATTTATAATATCAGTCTTCGCGGTTCTAGACTCACTGGTTCTAGATTCTTCTTCGAAAACAGTCGATAGACGAAGTTGCCTTCGCGCGCAACAGAATAATCTCAGTAATTAAGTTTCTGAAAGTGAGGATTAAATTTAAAACGATGTTCAATAGTTCCAGTAGTTTCAGTGGTTCCAGTCCAGAAACCGAGAGTACAAAACTTGTATCTAGTTCGTCGACGTCGAGTTAGTCGAGTACATATAAAAACTATTTCTTCTATTCAAGAGACAAAGATAGTGTGAAATTTGACTTCATCTGTGATGAAGCCATTTGGTTAAACATCAGATTAAGCACAAGTTAACCAGATAATGAAAAACCGGGTTTGAGACTATATCTTATGCGTTAGAAATTGTATCTGACATATTATAAAATTATTATCTCGACGAGACTCTCAGTATAGTCGAAACTCGCGGTATAAAAAGTCTCGTCTCGGTCTCGTCTCGATCTCGTCTCGGACTCGATGTCGTTCGAAACACTAGCTAAGTCTTTGATACATCTTTATTTGTTTTGAAAATATTTCACTAAAAACTTTCGTAAGAAAAAATATATTATAAAGAAAGGCAAGCTTTCTTATGAATACATATATATATATATATATATATATATAATCGTACATATTAAATTCGAATTCCAATGTCTGTAATAAAAGAAATCACATTAGAAGAAGAAATGAAGAAGAATCCGCAATTGAAACTATCCGATATAGAATCACTGAGGGAGTGGTGCGATAAACAACCGCACTTGCCAAAAATTGAAGACAGCTTTCTCGTTTTGTTTCTTCATAGCAACTACTATCAAATGGAACCAACAAAAAACACAATAGAGAATTATTATACGATAAGGACGCATTTACCAGAAATTTTCTGCAATCGGGATCCGCTTGAAGAAAAAGGACTACAACAATCGTTCAAAACCGTGTAAGCAATTTTATAAATATCAGTGATAAATATCATAAGCGAAGCAGTAAAATAATTTGTTCATGTATCGTATATATAAAGTAGCTAAATTATAATATTTAAAATTTTAATCACATTAATACATAATTTAAGATCCATGCAGAAAATAAAATAAATTCTATAAGATTTATAGATATTATACTTTTAAAAATATCATAGAATATTTTTACTAATTTTTTTTATACACACACTTGTTATATTAATAAATTTAAATAAATTAATTTGATTTAAAAAGGGCTATTTTTCCTCTGAATGGATTAACAAAGGAAGGCTATAAGATGATATTTATAACGTTTCTGGACAGTGATCCTTCTTCCTATAATCAGAATGCCGACTTCAAACATGCCATAATGTTAACCGACATACATTTTCTAATGGATGATAGGATTCATGGTTATATTTTGGTAATTGATGCTGACAAATTTTCCTTCGGCCATATGATGCGAACAAATCCATTGGAGGTCAAGAAACATGTATACTACATCCAAGAAGCACTGCCAATACGTTTAAAGGCAATCCATGTTATAAACGCCGCACCCGCCGCAGAATTGTTGATGAAAATGGCAAAGCCTTTCATGAAAAACGAGTTAATGCACATAGTAAGTATCGCAAACCAATTATTGAAGTTTAATTGTACGTAATTAACGACAGTCGTGTTTTTAAAAAATATAATCATTTCCAACAAGCGTGATATACAGGCGATCAAATAATTCAAATGTGATTAATAATCGTTTCTAATCGTCCTGTTTTATAGATTTATTTTTAAACAAATCAAGAATTTCACACAAAATATAATTTTTTATTATATCTTGCGATAAATGTAGAAATTGGGTTTAATTATCTATAACACCATAACGTTAAATGAACAAATTATAGATACTCATAATGCAATGACATACTATTCTACTGAGATAAGTTTTTCTGAATTTTTATTTAATTCTTCTAGATACGTTTTCACTTATCGTTAGAGAGCCTTTCTGAATATATCCCAGTGGATGCATTGCCAAACGAAACAGGTGGAAAAGCTGGTTCCGTGCATAAACTAGCTGAAATTCATAAAAGAAAATTCGAAGACTATCGCGAGTGGTTTCTGTTGGATGAATCAACCAGACGCGTTAACGAAGCATTAAGAATCGGCAAGAGCAAAACAGTAAATGATTTGTTTGGTATAGACGGTAATTTTAAAAAACTTGATATAGATTAATAAACATTTATAACTTAATCTGATTTAACTAATTATGCTATTATTATGTAATCTTTATTAATATCATTTTATATTTTGCACTTTGTGATGTTTTATATAATTATTGTATATGTTTCTGTTACGCGTTCATTTTTTTATAAGTTCTTTGTTCAGCTGAATTAAAAAATATTTCTGCACTAAGATTAAAAAGAAATTGTACTTTTTATTTATATCCTGCGCCAATTGGATTATTCATTTTCGTTTTCGTTGTGTTCTTCATTTTATATTTTAATTAATCTGAAATATTAAGATTAGGGTAGCATCCAGGTAACTTTTTCTTTAGAGCGGAAACATGAAAAATAAAAATGTTTATTTTTGTATATAATATATACAAATATGCTCACACACGTATACAAAAAATTTTTACTTTTTACATTTCTGCCCCAGGGAAGATGTTACATTTTAATTTTACTCAGATAGAACTGAAATGACAAATCTATAACTTCGATCCATGATTAAGATCGTCGTTGATAACTTAATATTTACGAGTCAGTGGCGGTTTCAGGGGAGGGTGCGGAGAGGGCGACCGCTCCCTTCTAGAGTTCTTTAATCAAATTTGAAAAAGTTAGTTTCAAATAAATATTATTGAAAGAAAAATTATCAAATATTATTCGGAATTAAATTTGCAGTGTAGCTATATACGTATGTAACCACGAACGAGAAGAGGATGTTAATGACCAAATCGCAAAGCGCGAGAAAACGTTTAAAATATACAAGATCGTTTTCAACGTGTTCGTCGTTAGCAGCGCTTACAAAGCGCTAGAAAAGCGCATATACCAAACATGTATAATTTATATTTTATGTTCATGGTAATAATAGTAATAATAGTAATGATAGTAAATATAATTAAACTATAAAAAGAATAAATATTAAAGTAGTAAAGTAATAAAAATAATATGAAAATTACAAAAATAACACAACCCATGATTCATAAGTCGAAATCAAATCAATATCGATTGATTTTTCGAACTGTTTGATTTGATATCGTCTACATTTTCTATTGATCTTCGAAGATCGACATTATATCAATGCTACATCGAGAAGATTGATAGTTTATCAATGCTGCATTGATAAAATGTCGATCTTTTGAAGATTAATAGAAAATGTGTAGTAGATATTAAATTCAATGGTCCTAAAAATTAATCGATTTCAAATCGATTCGTGAACCCGGGAAAAATAATATCATTAAATATTTGTGTTTCGTTATACCGCCCTCCATAGAATAAATCTCTAGATCCGTCCTTGGATGGAGAAACTTTTTTGACATATAGGGTGTGAAGCACCACAAGTGTTCTTCTGACAAGAACTCTATTAAATTAGTATTTTTGTACATGTGTGCGCTATTTTCAAAAACTATTTATTTACTGTGTTAAAAAGCTCATTAGAAATAGAGTTTCTTACCAATATGAATGTAATAATTATCATATGTGAGGAATTAATTCCATTCTTTAAAAGATATTTATAGAAATTTGTCTTCTCAACTTATACATATTCCTTAATTTTTGAACAGAATTAGTTTTTTCATAAAAAATTTTTTAATTGAGCAGCACATTTATTAAAAACGGATATTTGCATTTATTACATTGATTTCTATTTTGCTAATTAAAAAAACTTTATATGTATAAGTAATAAGTGTGTATAATAAAAATTTCAGAGCATATTTATTAGGAAATCGTCTTAAAACGCATTAAAACGTAAATAAACTTTTACGTAATACACTCTATTGCCATATCATTACCACAATATAAAAATCTATCATATGTGCAGATCTCTCAGTCAGTTCTTTTCGACATCTCGGACAAATCGCGAAATATGAAGTAACATCCTTTTACATAAAACATATATGTATGTTATTTTAAAATATATTTCATTTGCTATTATTAATAAACTGGTAAATTAGTATAAATAATATTTGTGTATCTAACTGTATACATAGTCAATATACATCATAATATTATAACATACATTTTCATCACGCGTGCACGTAATGTGCCCTATACTACAACGCTTTTACGTGCGGGAAATAGCTAATACCTCAAGCCGTTGAGTTATTTCTCTAATCCCACTCTTCTGCGCAAAAACGTTGAGGTATAGGCACATTACGACGAGCACTCGTAATGAAATAGTACACAAGTAAAATAATTTATGAGAAATTCTTCTTATAATACCATAGGAAATACCTTAGGACAACTGTATTTCAAGTCAAAACAAGTTAATAAGTTTGCATATACTACAATAATAATTTATACATGTTGGATTTCATTAAAATTATTACTTTCACTTCCATAGAAATTTAAATTCGTAATAAAGGGTGGCTTCAATAAAATTAGTACCGTTCGGGGAAGAATTAAAGCAGAATCCAGAATTGAAAAAGTCTTATACACAAATATTGAGAGCATGGCGCAAAGAAAGCCTCTACCCAAGATGACCGACAGCGAATTAATTATTGCAGGGCGGTATAACACGTGCCATCGGATGCACAGAGTTTTCCCCATTCCAGCCCTCATCAGAGTCAGAGTGCTGTCAAAGCGACCAAAAAAAAATGGAGCGAAAATTACAACGGAACGGAACAGTGAAACCAATCAGAACTCTGTAATCATTACTCTGCTTTCCTTTCTGCGATAGTGACTGGTCTTACTGTTCCGGTATAATTTTCTCTCTATATGACAGCACCCTCATTGTTTCTCTTAAGCCGTAATCACACTAGCAATTGTGCGATTGTGACTGACAATTGAGGATTACTTTTCAACCAGTCAGAGCAGAGTAGTTACTGATTGCTTTGCTCTGACTGGTTGAAAAGTAATAATCCTCAATTGTCAATCACAATCGCACAATCGCTAGTGTGATTACGGCTTTATACCGCTCCGCCGACGCCGGAATGCAATTCCCTGCCGTCGCGTTCGGCACTTTTCGACAATCGCGTTTAGCGATTGTCGGCAGTTCTCAGCTTTGGCGTTTGTCTCTCAGACCACGTTAAGTTATAATTTTCAATGTGACTATGATTGGAATGTAAGCCTGACGGAGCATTTTCCATAAGCCTTTTCTAAGTTCTTAATTGATCTTTTTTTTGTAATGTGTCTATTTTTCTTTGTCAAGATTATTTCATTTCTACTTTGATACAAATTTGTAACATATTATGTGTACATTGTTAATAATTAATATCGTTGAAGAGCACCGAACGTTATGGTGGAGAACAGAATTACGACACCGGCGCGGAGCGGAGAGGGAAACAATGAACGCGTGAATGGGGGAAGCTTCATGTTTCCGATGGCACGCGTTGTGTCGCCCTGAGTTATTATATCGCATATATATTTATACCATTTTTATGCAACTTTTTTGTTTAGCTGAATTTAAATAAATTTCTTCACAAATATTAGAAAGAAATTATACTTTATTTGTACCCTACAAAAATAGATGTCAAATTCTAAACTCTAATTTGCAATCCTTAGTGTAATGTGTAGTACAACATGAATTTAACACTTGCAAAAGTTACACCCCAGCTAATACCAAATAATAACAACATAATTGTTAATTATATTTTCCTCTCAACAGTTTAATTATCTAATAGCTGCTTTCAGCAAAGATGGTTGATCAGTGAGTGATCCTCTGGTAGAACACAAAGTCATAAATAATCAACGATCAATCAATTAATATAGTTTATATTATTCTTCCGATTTTAAACGGAGCCGTTACATAAATACACAATTTCGCGAAGACAGCTCTTCGGATATGTAAGATTATCATTTTATTTTTTTTTCTCAATTGTCTGTCTGATCTCAGATATACCCGCGCGACATCAATACGAATCCGAAAATAGATTTCGCTTTTAAATGCTTACTATCTTTGTGGAAACTTGAATTAGATGAGCATTCCACCAAACAATTATGATAGAATTATAATATAATCATACCATATACCTATTTGAAAATTACATGAAATATGTAAAGCATAAAAAATATGCATTTTATGCAAAATATTCAGTCTTTTTGCATAAATATTCGCAGTCTACTTATAAATGACAAATAATAAAAAATATGATGATATCTTTATGAGATTATTATGACTTCTATGTTCTACGTGGGTCAATTCTTCGCTGAATCTTTATGTAGCCTATAAAAACAAATTGTATTAAAGAAATTATTCGTGAGATTTTCTGCTGAAACGCACTTATGTGTAATAGTTACGTTACTGAGTGGAAAAACAATTGTAATTCTGTAATTGTGTTTACTGGAACGCATACTTTTCTGCACATCATTCTAATTATAATATATTATATATTATATAACTAGTGAATAACTGGTACCATCGGTAATAGTACTTGCTAAGTCTAGTAATTCGGTCTCGCCGAGACGAGGAGAGACTAGTCAAATCTCGTTTTGATCTCGACATTTTCATCTCATCTCGATATCGGCCTGGTCTCGATAATGATAATCTCGTTTCGATCTCGGTCTCGATAATCATAATAACGTTTTTCCAATTTTTTTCTATGATCTATGCGATTAAATTTCACTATTATTCACTATTTTATGAGTTAATTAAATTTTTAAACTTTTTTATTAATTTGTGTATTAGTAATAGTAGTAATTTAAATTTTGTGAAAAATAAATGAATATGTCTGGTATAAAGCATATTTTTTTAATAATTTTATTTAAAGTTGCATCTTGTGATTATGTTATTATAATTAGAGAAAAAATATTGAGACTATTTATCATTAAATAATTAATACAAAATTTAGTAATTGTGTACACGCAATATTTTATCAATTTGCTAACCATTATACCAAATTAATAAAAATATACCAAATTTCTTTTAATAATAACAATGTATATTATTTACAATAGTTTAAAAATATTATAAAAATAATAACAACACATAATAGTAAAATATTTTGAGTAAATATAGCAATAAATGTATCATACAGTGACACATTTTTAATTGAAAATGTGTCTTTCCCGATATATACTTTTCCAAAGTATACATGCTTTCAGCGTATTGACTTTAGATAAATCAGGCTGGTAAGTTATAGGCAGCGATCTGCTGAATTACAAGCAGACGCGGCGGGCGCCCGCGGCGCAGTTACTATATAGTCATTTATAATATCAGTCATCGTGTCTGGTTCTAGATTCTTCTTCGAAAATAGTCGATAGATGAAGTTTCCTTCGCGCGCAACAGAATAATCTCCGTAATTAAGTTTCTGAAAGTGAGGATTAAATTTAAAACGATGTCCAATGGTTCCAGTAGTTTCAGTGGTTCCAGTTCAGAAACCGAGAGTACAAAACTTGTGTCTAGTTCATCGACGTCGAGTTGGTCGAGTACATATAAAAACTATTTCTTCTATTCAAGAGACAAAGATAGTGTGAAATTTGACTTCATCTGTGATGAAGCCCATTGGGTTAAACATCAGAAGCACAAGTTAACCAGATAATGAAAAACCAGGTTTGAGACTATATCTTATGCGTTAGAAATTGTATCTGATATATTATAAAATTATTATCTCAACGAGACTCTCAGTATAGTCGAGACTCGCGGTATAAAAAGTCTCGTCTCGGTCTCGTCTCGGTCTCGTCTCGGACTCGATGTCGTTCGAAACACTAGTTAAGTCTTTGATACATCTTTATTCGTTTTGAAAATATTTCACTAAGAACTTTCGTAAGGAAAAATATATCGTAAAGAAAGAGGCAAGCTTTTTTATGAATATATATATATATATATATAATCATACATATTAAATTCGAATGCCAATGTCTATAATAAAAGAAATCATATTAGAAGAAGAAATGAAGAGGAATCCTCAATTGAAACTGTCAGATGTACAATCACTGAGAGAATGGTGCGAGAAACAACCGCACTTGCCAAAAATTGAAGACAGCTTCCTCGTTTTGTTTCTTCACAGCAACTACTATAAAATGAAACCAACAAAAAACACAATCGAGAATTATTATACGACAAGGACGCATTTACCAGAAATTTTCTGCAATCGGGATCCGCTTGAAGAAAAAGGACTACAACAATCGTTCAAAACCATGTAAGCAATTTTATAAATATCAGTGATAAATATCATAAGCGAAGCAGTAAAATAATTTGTTCATGTATCGTATATATAAAGTAGCTAAAAATATTAACGTATATATTGAACTCTCGATAAACAAACAATCAAATATATTAAAAAACAGGCGAGTGAGAGTAAATTTAATGTCTACGCGGTTGACAATGCGTTAAATATATATATATTAAAAAATTTTTTCCCAAAAAATTACAAAATTAAAAATTAAAATCCCATACGTTTCGACTGAATTCCAGTCATCTTCAGTGAATTAAATTACAAAAAATATACATATCACAATCAAACTCCATGATAATACGGTATTATCATGGAGTTTGATTGTGATATGTATATTTTTTGTAATTTAATTCACTGAAGATGACTGGAATTCAGTCGAAACGTATGGGATTTTAATTTTTAATTTTGTAACTTTTTGGGAAAAAATTTTTTAATATATATATATTTAACGCATTGTCAACCGCGTAGACATTAAATTTACTCTCACTCGCCTGTTTTTTAATATATTTAAAGTGGCTAAATTATAATATTTAAAATTTTAATCACATTAATACATAATTTAAGATCCATGCAGAAAATAAAATAAATTCTATAAGATTTATAGATATTATACTTTTAAAAATATCATAGAATATTTTTACTAATTTTTTTTATACACACACTTGTTATATTAATAAATTTAAATAAATTAATTTGATTTAAAAAGGGCTATTTTTCCTCTGAATGGATTAACAAAGGAAGGCTATAAGATGATATTTGTAACGTTTCTGGACAGTGATCCTTCTTCCTATAATCAGAATGCCGTCTTTAAATATGCCACAATGTTAACCGACATACATTTTCTGATGGATGGTCTGATTAATGGTTATATTATAATAATTGATGCTGACAAATTTTCCTTTGGCCATATGATGCGAACAAATCCATTGGAGGTCAAAAAACATGTATACTACATCCAAGAAGCACTGCCGATACGTTTAAAGGCAATCCATGTTATAAACGCCGCACCCGCCGCAGAATTGTTGATGAAAATGGCAAAGCCTTTCATGAAAAACGAGTTAATGCACATAGTAAGTATCGCAAACCAATTATTGAAGTTTAATTGTACGTAATTAACGACAGTCGTATTTTTAAAAAATATAATTATTTCCAACAAACGTGATATACAGGCGATCAAATAATTCAAATGTGATTAATAATCGTTTCTAATCGTACTGTTTTATAGATTTATTTTTAAACAAATCAAGAATTTCACAAAAATATAATTTTTTATTATTATCTTGCGATAAATGTAGAAATTGGGTTTAATTATCTATAACACCATAACGTTAATGAACAAATTATAGGTACTCATAATGCTATGACATACTATTCTACTGAGATAAGTTTTTCTGAATTTTTATTTAATTCTTCTAGATACATTTTCACTTATCGTTAGAGAGCCTTTCTGAATATATCCCAGTGGATGCGTTGCCAAACGAAACAGGTGGAAAAGCTGGTTCCGTGCATAAACTAGCTGAAATTCATAAAAAAAAATTCGAAGACTATCGCGAGTGGTTTCTGTTGGATGAATCAACCAGACGCGTTAACGAAGCATTAAGAATCGGCAAGAGCAAAACAGTAAATGATTTGTTTGGTATAGACGGTAATTTTAAAAAACTTGATATAGATTAATAAACATTTATAACTTAATCTGATTTAACTAATTATGCTATTATTATGTAATCTTTATTAATATCATTTTATATTTTGCACTTTGTGATGTTTTATATAATTATTGTATATGTTTCTGTTACGCGTTCATTTTTTTATAAGTTCTTTGTTCAGCTGAATTAAAAAATATTTCTGCACTAAGATTAAAAAGAAATTGTACTTTTTATTTATATCCTGCGCCAATTGGATTATTCATTTTCGTTTTCGTTGTGTTCTTCATTTCATATTTCAATTAGTCTGAAATATTAAGATCCAGGGTAGCATCCAGGTAACTTTTTCTTTAGAGCGGAAACATGAAAAGTAAAAATGTTTATTACTATTATATAATACTTCAATCCATGATTAAGATCGTCGTTGATCACTTACAACTTTGCTTTGATCCAAGGGTAGTATTTACGCGTCAGTGGCGATTTCAGGGCGGGTGCGGAGGGGGTGACCGCTCTCTTCTAGAGTTCTTTAATCAAATTTGAAAAAAGTTTGTTTCAAATGAATTGAAAGAAAAATTATCAAAGATTATTCGGAATTAAATCGATTTGCAGAATAACTGTATACGTATGTAACCGCGAACGAAAAGAGGATGCTAATGACCAAATTGTAAAGCGCGAGAAAACGTTTAAAATATACAAGATCGTTTTCAACGTGTTCGTCGTCCGCAGCGCTTACAAAGCGCTAGAAAAACGCGTATACCGGACATGTATAATTTATATTTTATGTTCATGGTAATAATAGTAATAATAGTAATGATAGTAAATACAATGAAACTATAAAAAGAATAAATATTAAAGTATTAAAGTAATAGAAATAATAAGAAAATTATATAAATAACATTAACCCGTGATTCATAGTCGAAATAAAATTAATATCGATTGATTTTTTGAACTGTTTGATTTGATATCGATTACATTTTCTATTGATCTTCGAAGATCGACGTTTTATCAATGCTACATCGAGAAGATTGATAGTTTGTCAATGCTGCATGATAAAATGTCGATCTTTCGAAAATTAATAGAAAATATAGCAGGTATTAAAACTAAAAATTAATCGATTTCAAATCGATTCGTGAACCCGGGAAAAATAACATCCTTAAATATTTATGTTTCGTTATACCGCCCTCCCTAGAATAAATCTCTGGATCCGTTCTTGGGTGGAGAAACTTTTTTAACATATAGGGTGTAAAGCACCACAAGTGTTCTTCTGACAAGGACTCTATTAAATTAGAGAAAATAAGTAAAAAATGTTGTGTATGTGTTTTTGTATATGTGTGCGCTATTTTCAAAAACTATTTATTTACTGTGTTAAAAAGCTCACTAGAAATAGAGTTTCTTACCAATCTGAATATAATAATTATATCATATGTAAGAAATTAATTCCATTTTTTAATAAATATTTATAGAAATTTTTTCTTCTCAACTTATACATGTTTCTTAATTTTTTAACATAATTAGTTTCTTCATCAATTTTTTTAGTTGAGCAGCACATTTATTAAAAACGAATATTTTTGCATTTATTACATTGATTTCTATTTTGCTAATTAGAAAAACTTTATATGTATAAGTGTGTGTATGAATAAAATTTTCAGTGCATATTTATTAGGAAATCATCTTAAAACGCATTAAAACATAATTAATTTTACGTAATACGCTCTATTGCCATATTATTATCACAATATAAAAATCTATTATATGTGCAGATCTCTCAGTTCTTTTCGAGATCTCGGACAAATTGCGAAATATGAAATAACATCCTTTTACATAAAACATATATGTAAGTTATTTTGAAATATATTTCATTTGCTATTATATATTAATAAACTGATAAATTAGTAATAATTTATATATGTATATATGTTTTATATATATAATCTATATACGCCATAATGTTATAACATACGTTTACACATAATTAATATAATTTATCAGAAATTCTCATATTTCAAAACAACTGTATTTCAAGTAAAACAAGTTAATTAGTTTGCACATACTAAAATAATTTATACATGTTGGATTTTATTAAAATTATTACTTTCACTTCCATAGAAATTTGAATTCGTAGTAATAAAGGATGGCTTCAATAAAATTAGTATCATTCGAGGAAGAATTAAAGAAGAATCCGAAATTGAAAGAGTCAGATATACAAATATTGAGAGAATGGTGCAAGAAACAGCCTCATCTACCCAAAATAACAGATAGCGAATTTGCATTATTCTTGCATAGTAATTATTATCAACTAGAGCCAACGAAATCTACTATCGATAATTTCTTCACAGTTAGGACTCATGTACCCGAGTTCTTTTATAATAGAGACCTTAATAATAATAAGGAACTAAAACAGGCAATTGAAGTAATGTAAGGACATATATGATGTTCCTTTCCACTTTCTAATTATTTCTTACAATCTGTTATATGTAACAAATATGTACAATGCAGTAATATTTTTTACAAAAGGAAATTTTCGTGTAAAATGTACGATTTTATTATTGATAGAACGATTCAATCTTTGGAAAGAAATACAAGAGAAGGTTATAAAATAATTTATGGAAGACTACTAGATAACGAACCATCAAAATATGTTTTCAACGATGCCATAAAATTGCTATTTATGGTAATGGATTTATGTCTCTATACAGAAAACATTTGCGATGGTTATGTATTTGTATGCGACATGAAAGACTTTTCTTTGGGCCACATAAACCGTCTGAATCTTATATTCCTAAAAAAATTCTTTTATTATCTACAAGAAGGATTGCCTATTAGATTGAAGAGTTCTCATCTCATAAATATTTCTCCGATAATAGATATGCTTTTGAATATGGTAAAACCTTTAATGAAAAAACAGCTGATGGATACGGTAAGAGTAAAATCATTATATTAAAATTCAATTACAGAATCCTGCTTTCCGTGCGAATGTCCTAAGCCTTATTTAGGCTATCGAGACGGTAGTCTAATTGATATAAATTGTATTAGAAATGCTATATTTTTTTAAATATAATTTTAAATATATTATCAATATTACACACGCTCTACTAAACATTTTTTAATTGCTGGAAGATAAATATTTATCTTTTTATTTAATATGTTTTAATTAATTTATATTCTTAGCAAATCTGTGCATAAAATGGGATGTAAAATTTGAAGCAAAAAATATAAAAATCATTGAAGTATAGTCCAGTCGTCAGTGATTTGACCTGGAAAAACACGACGAACAAACTGGGTTTTGCTGTGGATGTCAATTTTGGGAAACCCAAAAAAGATGCAAAAATGTTTGCCACTCCTACCCCCGGGCTTCCCCCTAAAACCCCCCCTCGTAGGGGGGGAAAAACGGAAAACATCGATTTACCAAGAATCTGTACGCCATAGAAAAAAATGTTTCAAACAAGAAATGTAGCTGAGATAATTTTGAACAAAAATGTTTCTGAGCACTTTTTGTGTAGAATGAACCGTTCTCTCAGAAACAACGCTTGAAGCGACCGGTGATTTTGAATGTCAGTTACGCGCGCGAAATCAATTTTTTAAATAAAATTTCTATCAACTCAACGGTAAAAATTCGATATCTTCTGATCAGAGTGTCCTATCGACAAAAATCAAAGTGCGTTTTAAAGGTGAAGAGTGCAGCTTTCGTATGCAATTTTTGCATTTTGCCATTTTTTACGATTCTCATGAGATCAATAAAATTTATCACTTCCATTGACCGGTCGCTGTGGAATTTCCATTGTTAGAGCCTAAACTTCAAAACCTATAACATGAAATTTCGATTTTGAGTTTTGGCAACAAATATGTCTATACTTATAATTCTATTGTAATTCTATTGTAATTCTATTGTATTCTATACTTATAATGCTATTGTAGATTTATACTCATACTACGAACGATACTTTGGAGAAATTTGTACCGCTCGACATTCTTCCAAACGAAGCAGGCGGCCAAGGCAGTTCTGTACAGGAGTTACATAATAAACAAATACAAAAATTGGTAGATCACTTTGCTTGGTTCAGAGAGGAAGAAGCTAATCATCGTGTTAATGAATCACTACGACCGGGCAAGGCAAAAACAGTAATGGATTTATTTGGTGTTGAAGGAACCTTTAAGAAGCTTGAGATTGATTGATTAATCAAATAATGTTTTGCAGCTTAATAATATTATTAACTTTTATTATTATATATATAACAATATTATTAACTTTATTTTTAAAATACAATAACAATACAGTGTTTGAAAATAAAAATTAATTATTTTATTAATCTATCTTAAGTTTATTAACACTTAGACGATAGTATAAAATTTGTTATAGCAGCAATAACTATACTAAAATTGTTAATTAAATTAGATTAGATTTAGCGTATAATATATATATTATGATTGTATCAATTATACGGATAATCACGAAATTAATAACGTTAGTCTTACTTTTACGTCTTACGTTTACTTAATAATCAAATTATTTCTTATTTATGTTTATATATGTTACAAGTGCTTTAAAGTATTCTTTACTTGATTATAATAAAATTTTTTCTTCCAAATAATCATTCGAACGTTTTGAAACATTTGTAACGTTAAGTGAACCTAAGGTTATTCTGTATGTTAGATATACATTATATCTAATTTTGAACGCTTGAGCAAACAACAAAAGATGAATAAAAAGGGGCATGATTCCTTGCTTGTGTACAGACTTTTACTAAATCTAGTAATAAAGTTTCACAAACGAATGCAATAGATTTTTCATATATATGTTGTACAAATAACATAGTCTATCTAAAATGTACAAAATCCAAATAATTATATCTTAATTTTTTAATAGAACTATAAAATTTTATATTATATATAAAAACGTAATATTTATTATATTTAATAAAGTATCTTTTAAGATCGTAATGTAAAAAAAATACACAAAAAATAGTAATTAAAGGCCCTAAACAGTCAAGCTAGATCGTTAGTGTTTTTGGTGTAAATATTACATATGTAATTAAGTAAAAACATAAAGGCTATTAAGAGTCAACGCTGTTAGCAGTGCGCAAAGTATATAATCTTAAAATCTAAAACATATTACTTATAATATTATGTCGAACGTTTCGATCCTTAGTTTCGGATCATCATCAGCGACAAATACAATATAAAATAAAAATTACTCAGAGTTGTAAACAATGATGTTGTCCCGTAGTATGTAATACAACCAATCTGAGACAAGACTTCTTCAGGTGAAAGTATGTGTGTGTACATTAGTTTGAATAATTGAGTTCTCAGTTGGTCGACAAAAGACATAAAATCAATTATATCACAGAAATCGCATTGATCAATTTTCATCGTTAATATGTCTGTATATGACGATGTATAACGATATTACTTTATATTGTATTTGTCGCTGATGATGATCCGAAACTAAGGACCGAAACGTTCGACATAATATTATAAGTAATATGTTTTAGATTTTAAGATTATATACTTTGCGCACTGCTAACAGCGTTGACTCTTAATAGTCTTTATGTTTTTACTTAATTTTTGTAATTGTTTTGAAACATATAAGAGTCTATAATTCAATTATATTATTAATTTATTAAAATTTTTTATTACATATGTATATTATATATATGGTACATATATACAATTCTGCAAACTGTGCGTAGAATTTCTGTTTGAATAATTGCGTTTCATAACTGAAAATTAAATTTGGCGCGCAATTTACAGGATACGTTGTATATGAATTCACATTAAATTATTCAAACTATAAATAATACAGCATGACATTTAGAACCTTTATTTTTTATCTGTTGCGTCATATTTATGATTTTTTGAGTCAAGAAAAGACCGTGAGATCTCAAGTTCTTTTTACTAACACCAGTTTGAGATCTGAAGACTAGTTGTTTAGACCAATCGTTTAGCCTGTGTGAATAGTAAAATAAAAGGTACAAGGTTTTTAACTATAACTCACATTATTATAATAGTATATCACATTAGCAGTATATTACAGTTTGCAACATATTTTAATATTATAAGCAGATATAAAATGTGTGTGTGTATAATATTGTTAATATTGTAAAGAATTGTTTTCCTCAGAAGAGAGAAACAAAAGATATTAGATGTTAAATAGTATTAAATCACTGTCAGTTTATTGAATTATTAATCTAGTTTGTAATAAATTTGAATTAAACAACTTACTGAAAATTCAGACTTTTATAAACAATTATTTTCTATACTTACACATACACGCACTCACACACATACATATACAAATTGTATAATAAATCAATTTTAAATTAATAATAGAAAACAAAGAAAAATATAAATCTATAGCGATATTTCGATAAAGCATATTTTGTACAAAAAGAAAAGATAAAAAATGTGTGCTGAAGATGTCACAATTAAAAATTATTGTATCATTAGGATTTATATCTAGAACATTTTGTTCAATAAATATAACGATTATAACATTTTCAATCAACAAATAATAAATATGCAATGTTGAATAGAGCGCTTCTTTTAGATACATTCACACTGATATTCAATAAAATAAATGTAAATATTTATTCTTAATAAATGTGTTATGCAATTAATTTAATAGAAAAAGGGAGCATTATCAAATACAGATATTTATATTTATTTCATTGATTTCTATTTTGCTGATTAAATAATCGATGTAGCATAGCCTATAAAATAAAATATCTGCGTATATATTTCATAGAAAAGTATGACTCATGTTACGCGTGTTGAAACCTGCTTTGTGAGCTGTTACATAATACAGTTGCTATTTCTTCATCAGAGCAGCTCGCAAGCCTAGTTTCATCAGTGTAAGATTATCCTTATCCTCTGTTTAACTTATTGTTTCTTTTTATTAATTTTAAAAATTAAAAGAAGGTAAACAATAAATTAAACCAAGATTGAAATTAATATAACCGAGCCTTAAAAATTGTTATATGTGAATACAGATCTTAATTTATATTTTTCAAGACATCGGGCGGACTAAGTTACTACGTGGCATCCTTTTACAGATGGTAGACAGAATATATACAAGGTAAACGGAATTCATCGAAATATATTTCATCTGTTAGAAAATCAATAATAATGCATTTTAATCTATAACGAATAAGCTATTAATTTGGTAACACACATTTATAATATATAATTAATATAATTTATAAAAAATTATTATACTTTTATCTGAGTTGTATAGAGAGATTTGTTAAAATTATTAATTTCACACACTTCCATAGGAGTTTAAATTCATAATAAAAGATGGCTTCAATAAAATTAGTACCGTTCGAGGAAGAACTAAAGAAGAATCCGGAATTGAAAGAGTCAGATATAGAAATATTGAGACAATGGTGCAGAAAACAGCCTCATCTACCCAAGATGACAGACAGCGAATTAGCATTGTTCCTACATAGTAATTATTATCGACTCGAACCGACGAAATCTACTATCGATACTTTTTTCACAGTTAGAACTCACGTACCCGAGTTCTTCCATAATCGAGATCCTATTAACAATCAAGAATTAAAAAAAACAATCAACGTGGCGTAAGTACATTAATAATTTTTTTCTTTTCTAATTACTTAACATTCGCGAAATATCGTATGTGTAACAAAGAAATGTAGCATATTTTTCACAAAGAGTTTTCGTGTAAAAAGTAATAAACGATCTTATTATCAATAGAACGGCTCACGTTTTGGAAAGAACTACTAAAGAAGGCTATAAAATCATTTATGGAAGACTCCTAGATACCGAACCATCGCATTTCGTTTACACCGAGATCATGAAGTTATTACTTATGACAATCGATTTATGGCTTTATACCGAAGGCACTTGCAATGGCCATATATTAATAATCGACACGAAAAACGTTTCTTTTGGACACGTCGGCCGTTTGAATCCCATGGCCCTAAAGAAATTTCTTTACTATCTACAGGAAGGATTACCTGTTAGATTAAAGGGATTCCATTTCATAAATGCTTCTCCAGTAATAGATATCATTTTGAATATGATGAAACCTTTCATGAAGAAACAGCTGATGGATATAGTAAGATCTACATACAAGTCAATATTATGTTTACGATGAGAAAAAGAGAAGATCGAATTCCTATTTCTTTCAATTTCTTTTTTATTAATCGTATATCGTATGCATGTACATATGTATTTTATCTGTCTACGTAACATATATTTTAATTATTTACATTGTTTAATTATTTAGTTTTACATGCATACTACGAATGACACTCTGGAGAAATTCATACCGCTCGAAGTTCTTCCAAACGAAGCAGGTGGTCAAGCTGGTCTTATTCAGGAGTTACGTGACAAACAAGTGAAAAAGCTAATAGATCACATTACCTGGTTCAAAGAGGAAGAAGCTAATCATCGAGTTAATGAATTGCTACGACCGGACAAAGCAAAGACAGCAACGGATTTATTTGGCGTTGAAGGAAGCTTTAAGAAACTAGACATTGATTGATCAAATAACGTCTTATAACACTAATGGCATGATTTTAATTAGTACGATAACAATAGTTTTCAAAAACAAAAATTAATTCGTTATCGCAATAATCTGTCTGAAATTTATTACAATTAATCTTATTATTTCACTTCGTAATCTAGTTTCTTTATTTTTTGTATTGTTCATAATACTTTTCACAGTAATGAAATTGAAAATAAAAAACTCTGTGAACATTAACTAATTATAACATTACATCAATAATAAACTAGAAGAAGAAAGCCATTTTACGGTCGAAGCTGGATCACCGTGCTTATTATAATTGTGTGAATTTTATATACTGCGTATGTAGTCCCCCCATAAATCGCGACGCTGATAGTTTTTCAGCGTTGACGCATACATACTTAATTACTACCGCAGTAATATCACTTAGTTAAATTGACAAGCAATCTAACAATTTTTGATGCTTATAGCATCTTATTGGATCTTAATAATATGTTGAAAGACATATATTAAATTTTAACGATGTAATGTTGAAGTAAAGATAAATCTATCTGTGAAAAATAAGATTGCGAAGAATATCACAAGTTGGCGTTTCGTCCCGGCTTCCACTACTGGACTCATCAGTAAGGTAATGTAGTGGGCCTACCTTAAGGCCATCAAACGTACAAAAATGTTAGTAGTAATCGTAAGGTCTTAAGCAAATCGACCAATCATAATCAAGATTACGATTCACATTTTAACTTAAACTGTGATTGGCCGATTTGCTTAAGACCTTCCCAGACAGCACACAACATCCATTGGACATCTAGACTTGGTTTCAATCTGGTCCATACGTCCATGGATTTAGTACGAATGTTTTAAAAACGTACGTTATTCAACGTATAAAGTATGTTTACATTTGAACATTTAAAAAATGTTTATCTCATGCAAAAAATTTTCTAAGTCTGCTTGTGACGTATTGCTTTGGTTGACTTGCGAGGTGAAAATTTTTTTATGATCGCACGAGGAGTTTTACTTTTGATATCTCCGGTAACGCGAAAATTTATTAATTAAATCTTAATTCAGATATGCAACAAGCGACAAGCAACAATAGCTTGCTGCTCGCAATCATAATAGTTAGGAATCATTTTGCTTTCAGTGTGCAAATTTGTCTGGATTGTGGTCAAAAATTTGTTTAATATATTAATTTAGTCCAGTTTTAGTCCATTGCATCCTAAAATGGACGTTTTTAAGAAGTCCAAAATGGTAACACTGGATATTTTTAAAACGTTTTTAAAATATCCATGGATCTAATCTGGATGTTTTTAATATGTCCAAACGTCCAACATGTACGTTTTAAATACATTTTTTAAACATTACTGTGCTGTCTGGGTTACGATTACTACTAAAATTTTTGTACGTGTGATGGCCTTTAGACGCCTGTTTAAGTTATTAAATCGAGATTCTATATATACAGATATACGCGTATCTCAGCACTTGCGAGAATTTTTGCGAACATCTATAGATATAATAAGCACTGTGATCCAGTTTCGACCGTAAAATGGCTTCCTTCTTCTAGTTTATTATTGTTTATCAATTGTACGGTCTTAAAAATATTCTCGTATTTGTTAACAATATATCAATTTCCTACTCAACAATTATTATATTACATACAATATGTGTTGTGTTACATTTATACTGTTGACTAGAGAATTAAAATATTGATGTAATGTTATTACAGTTAGTTGTTTACTAGCAAAACATTGGATCAGTGTTCAATATCTATGAATTTTCTAATTCAAACATGTAAAAGCATACAAAATAATCGTTTTTCCTTATAAAAATCCGATATTGTCAATTTAATGCTATTGTTCAGTGCTTCCCAAGGAGAACGAGACAATCAAATCATAAATGACTTAAAAATGACTTTATATTGACTTTTTTTACTGTCATTCTTTTTATTTTATCATCTGAGATCGCGATTTTTATCATAATCAAAAAATGACTAAATTCGATCAATATGACGTTAAATTGACATTATTTTGATTGTTTCTCTCGTTCTCCTTGGGTTTTATTATTAATTAATTACTGCCTTGTAATAAATTGGCCAATATTTTACACTTTTGTAGGGATTACACATACAAACGAGAATCAACGATGATCAAGTGAGTCACTTGATTGAATTAATGTGTGTGTTCTAAATAAATATTTAACACAAAATAAGAAAAAATTATAAATGAGTAAACATGATTACTTATTTTCAAGAAGCCTAAATTGTTTATAAAATAATAAACTCATATTACTCATCATCAGAAAATAAATATATCGTTTTAGTTAATATATGCAGCACTCTTACATTTACTAAGAATTATAATATCAGTTGAGAACTGAATATAATTACATTCTGAATATAATTACATCTCAAAAGCATTCATGTTATACGATCGGCCTGAAAGATATCGAGTTAAATATTTAGAAAAAAATTAATAGATTCTCGAAAAATATCGCATTTTATAAGAGAACAAATACGAAAGCTGAGAAATAATTTTGAACGATGTTATAATACTATCACATCTTAATTATAATACTAAATACATATAATACTAAATTATGTTACCTAATACTAAAACTTTGTTTACTGTACTCTGATATATGTTATCTGCAGGGAATGGAAAGTTACTTTTTAAAAGTAACTAGTTACAGTTACTCGTTACCGAGTAAAAAATGTAACTAGTTACAGTTACAGTTATCGCTTTTTAAAAGACGTATTTTATTCACTGTAGCAACGTGATATTATTGTTTGACGTTATACGAGATATGGCACGTTCAAGGAATAGGACGTTGAATGTGTTTCGTTCACGCACAATGCACATGATCATTTTATCTTTATTATTCATCAGATTAAAAAGAATACTAAGTTATTTTCCGTCTACAACAAACTCACAATCAGATAATTCTCGTTTGAGAATTATGACTCAATAAATACATGTTTCTTTTTATTCTGATAAGATTCAACCGATATATATATGTATATATATATATATATACATAGTTTTATCTACAATACAATCTATATAATTATATAATTGTATAAGCTCATCGTCATCATTATCCAAGTATAAAATATTTACTTGTGTGAAAACGGAAAACAACTGAAATTGACTGAAATGACATCATGCGCATCATGCGTGAAATGGAATGTATCCATTCTAACCTCGTTTCATGGAGAATAAAAATAGAAACAACGCATGTACCAAGCGCTGAAAAGTGAAAATCATTGACAGCGCTGATGACCCTTATATGTACACAAATCATAATAATTCTTGCCGTACGGCAAGATCACATGTGGCGCGAATGTGTTAATTGTGATAAAAGACGGCCGTGACAAGTCAATATTGATGACAAAATAGCGGAGTAAAATTTCTACGCGCGCGATCGAAACGTAACATTCAGACTATCCACAGCAGAAAGATCTTCGCGAAAATGATGCAGCAGGAGTCTACGGTGTACGATCTGGCATATCGCGGTAAAACTGCGGCCGTGAAGATTCTGCTGAACGAGAATGAAAGGCTGAAAACGCAAACGGACAACGTACGTATCGTTTCATCTATGTATTATCGAGCGCGCTTTTGAGGTTATATTGTAAGGAACTAGGCTGAGAAAAAAATGTCAGGCGCTCCACCGGTGCTGGAACTTGAAGCCTCGAGTCGTCCACATTATAGCAAGCAACCGTCTCACCGCGGAGCCACACAGCCCGATGAGAGGAACTTAGTTTATATCTTACAGCTCGGCTAGTCTGAAATGTCATTCGTCCCCGGCGTCATCCATACCCTCCACTAATGCTCAATTACCTTTGCCTGGGCAATCATCTCTATCTCGTATGCCATCTCCGTCCAACAAAATTCCACCTCATGTTTCATTTGAATCTTCAGTGCCTTCCCAAGTAACTTTCATTGAAAAACATGGATGGCAATGGATAGCGCTTCAAGCATCTATGCCACTCTACCTTCACCACCAGTGAAGTTACTAATACTAATATTTAGAGAGAAATGCCATTGAGGGATAATTACATACGTCACAAAAGATTCGTTCACAATAGAAACACAACATATATGTCCATCAAAAATAATTTTTCTTGTAAAAAAAAGACCTAAGTATGCGCGTTTTAGACCACCGCAAGATCAATTTGATCAAAATATAAATATCTTGTATTACAATTGCAAAGAAACATTTATACTACAGTGGCGAACGATGAAATAAGAAACCACATGGCTGTTCTTCTGTCATCCCATTTTGTATCTCCTATTCCTTCAGGAGATTATAAATAACATATTATATATTTATAATTCCTGACGAAGCGTGACGGAGAGATAGAGAATCAGGATGTGAAAATTGACAAGGTAATAAACAAGAATAAACAAAGAAGCCAATGTCTCAAAGCTAATCCTAATAAGCCATGGAATAGAGGATGCAGAGAGAGAGAGAGAGAGAGAGAGAGAGAGAGAGAGAGAGAGAGAGAGCATTAATGATTGAAAATGAATATAACATGAAAAATCAAGTTAATGCTTGATGCTTAATAATTAAGTTTCCCGATCCAGACTTAAATAAGGATATTATTAAATTATTTCATTTTAGCATTCGAAATATACATTTTCAAAATCCGAGATATTGCTTCATTTAAATGGCGAAGAATGTGAATGTTGATGAAGCTATGAAAGAATTGGAGAAAATGTCGGGCGCTCCACCGATGCGATGCTGGGACCTGAGGCCTCGAGTTCACATTAGGAAGCAATCATCTTGTTGCGGAGCCACACAGCCTGATGGGAGGAACTTAACTTATATCTTACATTACAATACAATATTATCATTTCTTTCCTTGCAGAATGGTCGAATGTTGATACACTGGGCGGCATTGGGTGGCCACGACGACCTGGTTAGGCATTTGCTGTCCCTCGACGTACCAGTGGATCCTACAGATGATGTAAGAAATCGTTATTCATCAGGAGTACGTTCAGGAATTATGCTCAGATAACTGTTGGATGCATTTTTACTATAATATACATAACGTAAACTATAGCCTAGAGTTTACCTAAGTAGGTAACGTAGCTCAGCCTGATTGTAAATAAACTTAAGAGATGTGTTTTTTCTTAGTTGCACTAAGTGTACTGTTTGCACTTAAAATGACACGGGTATACATATAGGCTGTGTTCCACTTGATGCTCTCTCTTGGAATCATTTCATTCTTATTTATCAAATGTTAAACAAAGACAAATAATACTCACAATCGTATGAGTGTCAAGTGGAATACACCCACAGATAAATGGAGAAAGAAAGAGAGAAGACGAAAAATAAAAGAATTTAAAGAATAAGCACGAAATATAATAGCAATGTAATAACAGTAATATTAAAGTAATATTAAAGTAATTAATAAAAAATTTTCCCTAATCTGCAGCTGTACTATCTTTTGAAATTTTAAATAGTTTCCGATTGATTATTGCTAGAATTGATGTGAATTGATGGAAATATTACATTTTGTCTATTACATCATGAATCATAGCTCATAAAGATTCGATAAAATTTCGATGGTACGATCGCACGAAGCTTCTGACAACCGAATTTCTTTCCTCATTTTAACTACGTCTTATTGAAAATTTTCACTTTTTTCTTTATACTTCGAACGTGCTTGTTTTGAGTTCGGAAGACCTAATAATTATGATGTGACTAAAATCTATTCCTAACGTTGTGACAATTCCGAATTTGGAGCGACGCAACGAACGTACGTATGTACCGGATTTCTTAGTTTGATATAAATTTTATGAGTAAAGATACATTTTTATACGTGCAGATAAAAACAAATATGAACTGTTCATTGAAATTTCGATGAAATTTTATACGAAGATTTAAACAAGATAATAAATTCTTACATATCTTTTAAAAAAATTGTTGTAAAGTATATAATTAGCTTTGCTAATATGATACAATAGTATTTTTATCATTAATTAAAAATGATGTTGATCTGAATATTTGCTTCTGAATATTAATTTATAATTAAATATCATAATTGTCGAAAGACTGTTGTGTCTGATTAAAAATAATATAGCTTGATTATATAATCATACCTATAAATGAAAAGACTTATTTTTAAATCTTTTTCTAAAATATTTTTGTCTAAATATATGTGACTGTTACAACTTCGATTATTAAATAAAATGTATTATATAAATTATTTAATATATTAAATCAACTTTATTTTTGTATCTCAAAATATTATTTATCTTTTCGAGAAAATTATAATTCTTGCATGCTGTGCATTGGCCGTTAAACTCTCGTAGCTTCAAACGAGATTCTACACAGACCACACTGGTAACACAAATAAACAGTACAATCGTGTATATTTTTTCTGAAAAATATCTCATTATAAAAATACTCGTACTTCAAAATATAGTATATATTGTTAGTAGCACTAGTGTAGTTGAGTTTCAGTAAATCGTAGAGAAGACTACCTATCTAAAACGTTTCTTAAATTATAATTTGAAAAAAATTTAACGAGAATAATAAGTTTAATTAAAAGATAAATTTAACATGATATCGAGCAGAATATTACATTACAATTCCACAGAGCTATTCTCTCGTTTTAAGAAATCTGTCGGAATAAAGATGGAGATCTTAATAATATACACACTTGAGGACATATAATTATATTATAATTTTTCCAAAGATCATTTATGAGAAAAAAAAAACTTATAAGAAAATAAGTATAAAGCAAAAATGCGTCTAAAATGCATCGCGCGTTGCGTTACATTTTTTGCATATCCTGCTCTCTCTCTCTCTCTTTCTCTCTCTCGTACACACACGCATAACGTCACATAATCATCGCGGGACTTTCATTTCGTTCGTTGCGTCGGCTAGATCTTCGTACGAAACCAAACGTTAAATCACATCACGCGTCTAAATCATGCAGACAAACATGACTCCGCTAATCCTGGCAGCATCCGCCGGCCGCGAGAAGGTCGTTAACACATTACTAACCGAGGGAGCAAACGTGAACGCGACGACGATCGACGGTCACTCGGCGTTACAATACGCCGCGTCTAAGAACTGGAAGTCCATCTGCATGGCGTTACTCGAAAAGGATGCAGACGTGAACATCGCAGACAAACGGGGTGCTACGCCTCTCCATAGATCTGCCTCGAAAGGCAACATCGCCATCGTGGAGCTTCTCATGGAGTACGGGAAGAAATTGAACATAGGTAGCGGACTGTTTGTGTTTGTGTATCTCTGTATGTATGTATGTTATTGAAATGCAGCTCTTTCATTACAGTATAATAATATATAAAATATCAAATATAATCTATATATATATATATATATATCTATATATAAATATTTTCGATTATAACTTAGAGAAGTACAAAGGTTCGCTCGCTCTCCTAATATCGATACACAATTTCGTGCATTTCATGCTGTCTTGTTTCTCAGATCAGAGAGATGCATACGGTAACACGCCGTTACATCTTGCTTGTGAGGAGAACCGCGTGGAAGAAGCAAAACTGCTGACGGCGCACGGCGCGGACTTGACGATTACCAACAAGGAGCGCAAGACTCCGTTGGATCTCGCGAGTCTCGGATTGGTTCGACAGCTCGAGGAAATCAAGCGGCAGGCTATGTCAAAGTGATATCATCTCGCGCGAAATATTTTCATACGAGAGGTTTACGCGGTTTAAGTTTCGTTAAATAAGTCTCCAATAAATTTATTCATGATTAAGAGTTTCCTTCTCTAGAATTTATTTCACCCCTTCTCTCACTCACTCTCTTTCTTCCTTATAGATATTGTATTATAAAATGCGGTTTCAACATTTGCGTTCGTTCTATATAAAATGTATCAAAAGTCCTCTATTCGATTATTTTCGTTTTCTTTTTCGCTGCTTCGCTTCTCTTAGTTCTTTCTTATGGATCGTCGGCACTTTATCAGTCAATCGAACTCTCTCGAGACGATTGTCTCGTCGCAATAATCTTAAGGCCGAAAATGTCGTAGAACATTGTCACAACGACTTTTGATTTTAATCATGAAGCTGGTCTAATATCCGCGACGCGAGATATCAGTTTAATCCGCGTGACGCGCCGAATCGAACAAAAAAGGCTAACACCCTCGACGCACGTATATACATAATTCACAGAGGTTCGAGAGCACATTGGACTGACTCCGATATTCAATTGGCGTTCTCCTCGCCGTCGATGCTCTCGTCCTGCGTTGTCGAATCGTCACCCGAGCCGCCAGTTTGTACGGAACCGCGTTTCAATCTCGTAGAGCTCAGACTTATCGGAGGACCACCGCGCCTTTAAACAAATCATTACATTAATTAGGTGATGTGTCTTATTGAAATACGTGTGCATAAATAATGCGGAAAAATATACACTATCAGTCAATAGTTTAAATATATTTTCCATTTTTTCAAATTAAAAAATATCTTATGTAATCAGAAATTTAACGTTATATTTAAATTATATTTATTATTATATATCAAATAATAGTACTGTAAGATGTACAATAATGCATATTCTGAATTAAATAAGACAAATAAAATAGTAAAAAATTAGTCGAATAGTTACTAACGAAAAAATATGCAGTTTATATTTGATTAAATTTATATTTGAAATTCTTGCAATGACTATAATAGTAAGTTTAAAGTTAAATATGAAGATTGTTATATTAAACTACTAGTCGATTTTTTTGAAAGCAGTGTCAAAACTATCGACCGATAATGGGCAAATCAAGTCAAAAAAAATATGAAAAAACGCATTCACAAACAATTGCATTCAGGGGGATGCCGGGGGGGGGGGGCGGGGTGAAGTATGTCATTATCACACAAAGTAGCAGTCCAAGTTGGCATTATTATTTTCAGAGTTAGCGATTTCAAATTAACCAAAAGAGCTCGTTTAACTCACTGTAGCACACTGGGGACACTAATGGGATTGTTTCCTAGCAAAAAACTCTCTCAGGTAGGATACCAATCGTTTTTTCTCTCTTGACACCTACACATGTCAGAAGTTGATCACTTCCTTCAAAGATAAAACACTACTTTAATACTGCCTCATTACGTTCGCCTAAGGTTACAGATACGTAGGGCCTAAAAAGTGTAACATAAAATAATACATATGTAAATCGCCCAAATGAACAGCTCTTTATCCTCTCTTGCTATTTAATATCCTTCAAACATTATAAATCCCGAACCTTCTAATATTTTCAAGATCTTTTCATATTTAAACAATATTTTTATCCATTCCATTGCGTGTGCATGTTGTACGAAGAAGAAAATAAAGATGTGAAATTACCTTAATTTGTTCTTTAGATGTGTCAATTCCCGCATGAGCTCTTCGTGAGATTCTGTTATGTCGTCCATCTCTCTCTGCGCTTTCCGCTTCATAGTCTTATGCCTACTGATCTCCTCCTCAGCTTCGTCCAATTGTCTCTTCAACGCTTTCATTCTGACATTGACTTTTTCTGCCTGTTCTTTATACTGATCGGAGTTTCGTCTCTCATCCTCCAACTGTAGGCTCAGTTCCTTCAATTTCTTCTCCAACTTGCGATTGATCTTCTGCTGGGCGAATCTCTCCTTGGCTTCAGTTTCGAGTTGCTCATCGAGATTGTTGATCTTCGATTCCAGTTGCTGTATCGTAGCCTTGGTCTTGGCACGTTGCGCAGTCTCTAACTCGGTTAACTTCGCTTTAAGTTCTTTGTTCTGTCTCTCTAACAGCATTTTGTGCGACTCCAATTTTTGCGTAGTGGATCTCTCAGTCGCCAAGTCCGTTGTCAACTGCTCGATCACAATTTGACCTTTTCTGGCACGATCCATCACGATCTCAGCGTTCGATTGCTCCTCCTCCAGTTCTTCCTCTAAGGTGGCAATTCTTGCCTCCAATCTACGTTTCTCGTCTAACATCAAGGTTCCTTTATTGGCATTGTTATTGACTTCTTCTTGTAGCTCATCTCTCTCGTTCTCAGCGGTTCTTCTGGCACGTTCACTGCTAGCAAAGTCCTCAGTTAATTGTAACAAATCAGCTTCTAAGCTCTTGACCTTCCTCTCGGTTTCCTTAGAGGCAGCTGCCAGTTCATCTCTTGCAGCTCTAGCTTCTTCTGTCTCTCTAGTGCAATCCTTGATTTGAGTTTGAAGTTTCTTAAGTTGTTTGAGTGCGTCCTCCTTCACCTTATTATGCATCTCTAACTGTTGTTCGATATCCTTATAATCCGCTTCCATTTTTTTACGTGCAGCGATAGCTGCAGCACGCTGTTTCCTCTCATCCTCGAGCTCCGCCTCAAGATCACGGAGCTGCTTCACTAATCCTCGACGTTTTTCTTCCGCTTGTTCTTCCTTGGTTTGAAGATCACGCTCGAATTGAGCTCGCAACGCTTGCATATTTACTTCCAATCGCAGCTTAGCATCTTCCGTAAACTGCAATTCGTCTTCTAATTCTTCAACCTGCGATTTTTGCTCTTGTAGCTGCGATTCTAATGAACGTTTTGCCTTTTCTAGTTCATGAACATTCTTGTCAGCGGTACCTTGATTATTAACTAATTCGTCCAGTTCTGACTGTAGACCTCTACGGCCCCGTTCAAGTTCCTCAACTTTTTCATTAAGCTCGTCTAATTCGCGAGTCAATGATAATACTCTTGTCTCCTTCTCGCGTGCTTCTCTCTCTGCGGCGTCCCGTTGTTCTGCATATTGCTCAGACACAGCCTTTTCTTCGGCCAGTACTTTATCGAAATTCTTCTGCTTCTTTTCTAACTCAAGTACTTTCGCTCGCTGTGCCTCCAACTCGATGATACTGTCTTCTAGTTCTGCCTGAATCTTTTTCTTTGATTTATCTAGTTTATCGTTGGCTGCCTGCAATTCCTCAACTTGCCGTTGGAGACCTTCAATATCCTTCGTACAACGTTTCCTGGCCTCCTCGAGAGCGACAGCCGCCTCTGCTTCATCGTCAGCACGTTTCTTGGCTTCGGCCAATTGTATATTCAGACTCAGCAGTTGCTTGTCCAAGGCACGTTTTGCTTCCTCTTCCTCCTCAAGTTGATCGTGCAAGCTCTCTTTCTCACTTTCTAACGCGCGCAACTTCGAACTGAGAGCCAATTTCTGCCGAGTTTCTTCTTCCAATTGCTGTTGTAATTCGGTAAACTGGGATTCACAGGTGGCCGACGCCTTCAATGCTGCAGATGCTTTCAGTTCGGCGGTTTCTAGTTGCTGCATCACACTTTCCGCTTCTTGTTGCAACTTCGTCACTTTCTCAACTAATTCTTGTTTGTTTCGTTCTACTTCGGCCAATTTTGCGTTTACTTCCGCCAATTGTTGTTCCGCTTGTTTACGACGACGATCAGATTCTTGTCTACTTGCGCTGACCGATCTAAGTTCCGTAGCCAAATCGGCATTCTCGGCTTCCAGAGATCCTTTTGCCTTCTCTAAAACCGCTTTCGTTTTCTTCAATGCGTCCATTTGTTCATTCAGAGCAGTCAGTTCTTGTGTATGCTTGTGACGCATATCAGCGAGTGTGGCTTCATGCAATGATGTTTCCTCTTCGAGGTTCTTCTTCAACGTCGCAAGTTCTTGTTCTCGTTTGCTTCTTAATTCCTGTTGAGCCGCGGTAGTATCTAGAGAATCGAGCAATTCGTTTTTCAGCGCTTCAAGCTCCTCGTTCAAATCGCGCTTTTGTTTCTCTGCTTTACCTCTGGCCGCCTTTTCAGCTTCTAAATCTTCCTGAAGTTCGGCTAACTGTGACTCTAACTCTCTAAGCGCTTTTTGAGCTTGTGCTTTAGCAGCACCTTCTTCATCCATTTTCGCCATAACTTGATTGAGTTCTTCCTCACGTTTGCCAAGTTGAAGCTGCATTTCCTCAACTTGCGTTTTCCTTTCGGCCAATTGCTCCTTCAAGTCTGAAACCTCAGTCTCCACTTTTCTCTTGGATCTATCCACCTCCTGTCGTTGTTGATGATCTTTAAGAAGTCTCTCCTCGAGATCGGCGATCGTCGCTTCGTGCTTAGCTTTCAATTTCGACAAATGCTTCGCTTTCTCCTCTTCTTCGGCCAAAGTCTGTGAGAGATCATTTGCACGTTCCTCGAGAATCTTTTTCTCTTTCAACAACTTTTGATTGGTATCTTCCGAAAGAGCGAGATCTTCCTCTAACTTCTTGATTTTCGCATCACATTGAACCTTTTCCAATTGCAGTTTTTGTCTAGCAGCTTCCTCTTCCTCTAGTTGCTCTTCTAAATCACTGATGTTCAACTGTAATTTCTTCTTCTCCTGAGTCAACGCGGCGCTTCTCTCTTCTTCCTCTTCGATACGCGCTTCCAAATCGTGCAAAATTTCCTCTAGCTCTTGCTTTCTCGCGGCCAACCTAGCTCTCATTTCTTCGGCTTCCGCGCAAAGCTCAACTTCTGCCTGCAATTGTTCAGCCAGCATAGTCTTTTCTTCGATTGCCTGCTGATATTTGCGCTCGTACTCCTGAGCCGAGTGCAGTTGTAATTCCAGCTTGTCGCGAACCTGCTTCAGTTCATCCTCCTTCTGTGTGAGCTTTTCCTCCTGTTTGGTAACCTCTAATAAAGGCTTCACTTTGGTGTACAACCGCCACCATTGCCAATTGCGCAACTTTAGGTAGGCCGCACAGTTTCTCTGAATAATGCGGATCGCGTTAAGCTGTTGCAGACGTTTTTGATAATTACGCCTGGCTAAGAAACCGCGACAGAAAGCCTGAAAATTGACGATTATGTCCGTGATCTTGTAGTCCCTCTCCTCCTCCAAGTGGGCCAACACCCCGGCGCGGAAAAAGATCTTCGATTGTCCAACACGATAAAGATTCGGATCCAACTCTAATGCTTGAATCTATAATAAAAATTCATGATTTAGCGATACATTCTTATTATTTTTTATTGAAATGTGTAAACATAAAGATACATACCATCTTTTCACAAGCCTTCTTCCCGTCCATAAATCCCTTGGGAATAGCATTCGGAGTAAGCAATTCGTAGCGTTGTCTAAATTCTTGGAACGGAATTCTGTTAGGAAAACCTTGCCGGCAGATACGGATACCCTCCAACACGCCGTTGCATCGCAGTTGATCTAACACAAGTGGGGCGTCGATTTTACCAGCTCTCTTCTCGTGATTCGGAATTATACATCTGACGAAATTCGGATTCGTATTGCGCAGTGTCACCATCAGCTTGGCCAACTGTTCCTTATACAGTTGCGAGACCGTCCTAAACATGCCCTTCCTCGTCCTCGCACCGAACTGTGTGTCTGTGAGCGCCTGCTGTGCCATACCGACGATTTCAGCGTCTTTCCAGATATGGCACACAAACGGATCTTGCGAGGCTTGCAGAAGACTGACAACGTTCTCATTCAATGGGTCCATATTCTTCATCAACCACTTAGCGGCAGAATAGTCCACTTTTCCAGCATAATGAATGATTGCAAAATCGGCCACACCACGGAAATCAGTCTTCATGAACTTCGGGTGGACACTGTGAGCGCCAACCAGTTTTTCCACGAATGTCTTGTCCGTGGCTTTAGGAAACCAGCACTCTTCGTCTAAAAGCGCCATAATGCCCATCGGTTTGTCGATTAGATCGATCGTTGGCTGCAAATCCAACCCAAAGTCTATGAATTTCCATTCAATTCCCTCACGCTGATACTCCTCTTGCTCCAGAATGAACATCGTATGATTGAACAATTGCTGTAGCTTCTCATTCGTGTAATTGATACACAGCTGCTCGAAGGAATTCAGCTCGAATATCTCGAAACCGGCCATATCCAATATGCCGATGAAGCTGGCACCCTGTCGCTTCGTTCTGTCAAGGGACCTGTTGATTCTATTTACCAACCAACGGAACATCCTCTCATAGCAGGCCTTTGAGATCGCCTCTACGGCGAATTCCACCTGTTCCTTCGTCTGTGCCTTCGTAACGAAATCACGACCGACCTTGATGCGCGGTTTTAGGAAGGCTTTCGTCATCTCAGTCACGCTTAGGCCCAATAAATGCGAGATCTTCTGCGCCACCGTGTTGTCCGGTAACGTGGCTTGATCAGAATTTCGTTCTTGACGGAACTGCATCGAACCAAACAACATCACGGCGGAAACGATACGAAAGATGGAGGAGAAGTCCTCGTTGGTCATGCCCATAATGTGCATGGACTTTACCGTAGAGAAGAATTCAGCGGAATCATCGACACCAGGAACCGGTAGAGCTCCATTTGACAGAAAAGGATAGTGCTTTGGATCTTCCAATATAAATTCCTCTAAAAGAATTCATAAGCCATCGAGTTACGAATATCAGATATAATTAACTAAAAAGAAGTATACAGATTCTTTGTCTGACATTATGCTTAACTCACTCTTTTGTTCGACTGAGGCACCTGCCAACAGCTGATAAAATATGTGGAAAGTCCTTTCATCTTTCGCTTGCCGAATGGCTCTCGACTTCTCTAGAAGATACGTCTCAATGTTTGCACCGGCTATGTAACCGGATGCATCAAAATTTATTCTTATAAATTTACCCTGTAACATACATATTATATAACACGTTATTATATAAGTAATTCCAATAAACAAAAAAATAATATATTAAAAGTATATTGCATCTTAAAATTACCAATAATTAAAATTAATTTCAAATAAAACAATAAAACTAGTGGTTTAATGCAATTGTTTTATTAAAATTAATTTTGTTATGCCCGTTTCCACCGATGTAGATTAACTTTATTTTCGGTTTAACTTACTATTCATCTTTTTATAATTTTTAGAAATTAGAAAAAAGCGAAGAACACAAATTGAATCGAAATTAAAGTTAATCTGCATATATTTATGGTAAAGAATTATTAATATAACTTACGAAACGGGATGAATTATCGTTCTTCACAGTCTTCGCATTACCGAATGCTTCCAAGATTGGATTTGCCTGAAGAAGCTGTTGCTCGAGCTCACCCTATGACGAAAAAAGATTTCAACAATTAATAATAAATATTATCGAAAATATTTATTTTTCGTGACTGACAAAAATAGCGCTAATGAGCAAAGTAAATGGCTTATTGCGTACATTAAAAAATAATGTAATGATAAAAGAATTTGATGAAATTTGCCCTACATTCTTTTCGTAAAGCAAATGATATCATTGAATTCTTCCAACTTTTTGAATGTTTATTAAAACTATATAGAAATATATAGAAATATAAAAAGGACGCTTAACCTATTATTTCAAAGGTTTAATCATTTCAACATAAGAACGTAAATTAATTTGGTTGATTTATTTTAAAGGAGCATGACTAGCATGAAAATTTTCGTTCAAAAGGATTTTTATGATAAATCATTGTAAGCTTTATTAAAGAATGAACAGTCATACAATATGATAGTAAATTGTCTATTGTAAATATAGAACAGTTATCTTTCTACTTTCAAACGTGTCAGATCATTAAATCATTACGAGACATAAAAGGTTTTTGTATTCAACTATAAGCACATTTGTAAACGGCAACGAAATCTTTCACGCTTTCTTGCTCAGCGATGTATAATAACGTATTACGATTAACACAAGCGCATTACGTATATTTAAGCATCGAAGATTGACTTGTAATTTTTACGAGTTGTTAAACTGCAGCGCACTGAAAGGCTAAAAAAAAAAAGAAACAGACGACAATAATCGACGACAAAAGCAAGCTGTAAGGCAAAACACTTATCACGACACCACACCAGTGTTAATATCGTTTCCTCCCACTTTCTTTCTCCCTTTTTCACGTTAATTACCGCAAACTTTTCCGTGACACTCCCAGATCCCTGGATCCGCAAGCAGCAGGAAAAAAGAGGCAAGAGGGAAGCTCCGTTAGCCACAAGAACACCAATAATTCGGTAAACGGTTTTGCGACGATTAATTTCTCACAGAAGGGTAGTGCGCCATAATACAATTATATTATATCTCTATGCGCGAAGTGCATGCAGGTACCGAGAGGTTATTAAAGTATTATATTATATATACGTTTAAAAGGAGTGATTTTAATTCAGATTCTCCAAAAGAATCGCAAGACACATTTCTATCCAATTAAAAACAAATAAGAAATAGATGTGTGTGATCCACTGTATTTAAATCTTGTCTTATAAAAATACGTACTAATCATATAAACGGTTCGTACGTACAATTTGTTTGTATCACATTTTTCAAGATCACACAAATGTGTGATGTTATTGCGATAATATTGTATATCGTGATCTCTTCTTCTCTCTCTCGGTACGTGCGTCAATTAATATATAAAAAATCAAAAAAGTCTGTTAGTAAGAGGTGGATAAGCGGGAAAATAATACAAAATTCCGTGCCGCAGGCGTCGTCAACCGCCTGAGCCGGGCCTCTGTTTCTTTCGTTGACTTACTATGATTAATGCCGGACTCGGAGTCTAGGTGGGCGGCCGCCAAAAGTGTCAGCACCGAAAATAAAAGAATTTTCAGCATTAGATCAGAATTGACCATGGCGTGGATTTCGAGTCGCGCGTTCGTCCTTGGTCCGTACGATTCCCTCACATCCGTGTACCACATGGTAAAGTACACGAAGAACATATCGACCGGCGAATAAATGCATGCTCGAGTGAAATTGAGTCTTAGCAGACGTTGGAATCAATTCTATCTTTCTTTTTATTGTTTTCTTTATAGGATTTATTATGATTTTGATTTCAGTTTCGAGAGATTGGAAAATAATTTCTCAGATGCCAATAATTCGGTTTTGATACAAACATCGGATGCATAACGGCACTGCGGCATTACTTTTTAAATTCTTGATGGATTTGGAAGTCGATTCTAATTATTGATGAAATTCTGGGATAACTAAAACTGATTAAAGAATTTTCACAAATAATTGTATGCAAATTTTAATTCAATCTAGATTCGAGTTCCAAGAGATATTTAACATCAAAAGAACCGGCGGGATATATGTACGACAGACTCGCGAAACATTCGTTAAGAAATCGTTGACTCCAAACTCATCAAAGAATTAATGACGTTAAAGAATTAAAAACCCGGCAGCTGTGCGCGACACCTTGTATACTCTGGAAGTAACGCCCCGATCAAAATGGTTTGAAATGTCCGTAGTGGCGAAACATAAGCGAGCTTATTTGCTCTTGTGCATGCGAAACGATCAGGAATGTGCTGGCTGTGAACAAAAGTAAGACGATAATGCAGCCGATGCGATAGCATGCAGTCGTATCGTAGGCGAGTGTTCTCGTTTTACAAACTTTTTTACACATATACTTTTGCATGTACAAATGCCGTGCGATCGACGGTCAAGAAGGAACATTAAGAAATCTGAGATATATGCAGAAAAAGATCAAATCTTCTTCGAGATTTGTGCGTGCAGAATCTATAGTTGAACGAGAGCGATTCTCGACTGACTGATTGGTGCATGAAATTGGTTAAAAAAAAAAAGATATTTATTATTAAAATATTAATTTTCTAATTTAAATTAAAATAAGCAACAGTCAATATTTCATTAATATTGACTAACTCCAACGCTTTTTAGCTTCTCTTAAAAAACAAAGAGAGATAAAATAAAAAATCTATCATAAATTTTATAAATTATACACTTTTATGCAATATTTAGAATTAATTTAATTTTCCGAAAAAGGCACCATTGTCTTCAAATTTATCGAAGAATAAAAATACCCCTGTCACCATTTTGCTAACCAACACTTCTATGTTATTTACTCACTACAATTTCAATTTGATCAAAGTTTACTGTACAAAGTATTAGATATATATGCTTCAGATGTGCGTAATTATACATCGTCATGCTATATATATATTTTATATATACACACAAACACACACACACACACACACACACACACACACACTGACTCGATTTAATAAAGGCCATTAAAAAATCAGACAGATAACACGAAAATTTAATTGCGTCGATTGCGTGTTCTATGCGACCTGCGAAGATTAGTTTGCGACAATTACGTTCACGACAAGAAGCGATAAGGACCGTCGAGTGTGAAGTGCTGCAATGAGATTAGTCTAATACTTGAAAATGTTCAACCTTATCTAGATTTTGATGTACGATGCACCATTATATAGAATATTTTGCGTGTTTCCTTTGTCTTATTGTTAGACAATAGAGTCTAAAATCACGATGGTGAAAATTAAGTGTTGAAAGTCCAAAGAATGGCCTATCAAATTCTCGCGAAAACGATCGTATTAAATGTATTTAAAAACTTTTAAGTTGGGAGAAAACGCGACGGAACACCTGGAGTGCACATTCTTATTTTCTTTTATCTATAGTAGGCCTAGATAATACATTCACGAGATGAGTCACGCGCGGGCAAGCCGACTCGCGTGACTCAAGAGAATCAAAAAGAGACTCGATCCGATAAGTGGATCGTTGGAAAAGGAGAGGTCCTTCGGTGAGCACGATGCGCCTGTCTCTGATTCCGTCCTCCTTCTCTTTCACGTGCCATCGTAAGCAACATGTATGCCGCGTAATATAGATCGATTGATTGGACTTAATCAACGAGCGTCCATCCGAGTCGTAATGCGAACGCGACTTATGGTAATCGAAAATGTGTTAAGGCTCTCTCTTGCGGGGTGACCTTCGATCAAGGAGACGGAGACGTCGCAATTCAGGCGAATCTTCGAAAGGAGTAGACGCTCTCTTCTCTATGGCTGCTCCTTTTACAGCAACCTCTTTAGGTTTTCGACTACTGCAGCAACTCTGAAACCGGTTGGAAAAACCGGTGGAAAAACGTCGCTCGTGCTAAAACCGATTACTTGAAAAACAACAAGAGTTATTCTTCACTCTCTCTCTATGAGATATTTCCTCTTCTTCTTTTCAATCAAAATTACGAACTTTAACTTTTTTGTTATTTGTAATATAATTGAGAAATTTTCTAATATATTATTTTTTTAACATATTGTATTCAAGAATTTTGATATCTAACAATTATAATGTGTGCAAAGAGGTTTAATTTCTAAAACCTCTGTTTTTAATTTATTATTTTTCAAGTGATTGATATTCTACATTTTGCAGCTGTACGAAGCCTCCTGCATCACTCTGTATATTTTACTATATACTGCCATTTACGAAAGCAAACCGTCAATGTGCACCACGTTTATAAAATGTCTGCGAGGGACTAAATCATACAGTATTATTTACATTCAACACATGGTCGCTATTATTTCTGCTTAAATTTTTATCTAATTCACAAATACTAAAAATATAACTTGTAAAATTTACAAAGACGTTTACAAGACTCTACGAGGCCAGAACGTCAGATGGACAGGACTGAGAAATGAATGTTACCAGTTGAAGATTGTATCTGCGCATTTCTTTTTTTACTCGCCGTCCTTCCACCCAAACCTCAACGTAATTTGCAATCCGGAAAAAAAAAAACAGTTCGTTCCCTGCATCTTTTTCAATTTATTAATAATGTTACGCTTCGCGCGATGGTTCGGATTATGCTCTTCAAGTATCTCGGCGAAACGCGTGAGAACAAAGAAGCTACTGTACGCGAACCTGTACGACAGAGGCTCTCAAACAATTTTGTTTTCTCTCTCTTTCTTTTTTCTTCTCTCTCATTTAATCAATATCTCAAGAATTCTTGAATTCTTTCAATCAATAGATCTCTGTCAATATAGAAACATTTTTAAAAGAAACAAGAATCTTTTTTTTTAACATATTAGATATGAGATATATTAATATTCTCAACAATTTTTTAATTTTTTCAAAAATATCTCTTTCGTTTGAAGTAATAGATAAAAACAATATCAATTATATATTACTAAAAAAAAAAATAATTTTTTTTAGTAAATATTTATAATACGATATTGAAATTTCTTAGTTATGACATTTACAGCTTCATTTAAAAAAGTCATAACTGTGAAAAGACATATTAACAATCATCAGAAACAACATACTTATTCAAGAATTAGTCATTTAAACATGGAAGTCTGTTCAAACGATTTTAACGAGTTTCGCACGAGACGTCTGCTGGTTTCTTCTGGTCATTAATTCGGCAGTAACGAATATGGAATTCGTGGTACCGAAGGCCCGTGGTAAGGACGTCATGAATCGGATATTGAGGTTGCACTTCCGGCGGCGGAAGCGAGCGGCAATGGCAACGAGGTTTTCCGAGCTTCGGAAAGGCTGACGCGGTTGTGGTGAACACGGTGACTCAATTACGCGAAATTTCAACGCTTTTAACGCCGATATAGTCAGTATTCTCATCGCGCACCAGTGCATCCGGTTCTGAACTCTTTGTTGCACTTTGCGGTCCTATCGAAATAAACTCAACAAATCTAACTCGTGACGTTGAACACTCTTCGTAACATTTTCCAGACAAAAGAAAATAATTGCTATTAAACAATGTTAAAAATATTAAAATAAAATCGCGTTTGAATATAATCTGACAAGTTAATTCCTTCTTTCACTTTAGCTTTCATGTAGGGAACAACCATGTTTTGATTACGCTTGGACTGGAAAAATGAAAAAGAATCGAGCCAAATAATTGACTAAACACATTCATGGTCAAACATTGTAATCGCATTCCACAATCACTCGAATAACAAACGACGTTGTAGTTAAATCTATTTATCGAGTAGCGTGTCAATTGTAGTAGTCTCTTGTGTCGTTTTGATATAGCCGCTTTGGTCATTAACCTTGGGAACACGCATAGCTGTGAGTAGACATCTATCACGTAAACATAATTGTGCGTGAGGTAATCGAAACCTTTCAACCGTAACAGCATTATTATACGCACGCGAGTACCGTCATTTTAAGTCAGTTAAAAATGCAGGAAGAGACGATATATGTAACAAAATAATATTTATTACGGAAATTAAGTTTGACGAGATCATATGATTCCAGCTTCACCTGCTTCAAATTATAGTAATCGCGTATGTCTTGCTATCCCATAATTATAACATCCCAATGACTATTTACATAGTGTTGAATACTTTCCTCCATTCATTTAAATATCGAAAATCTGACATAACGCAAACTGAAAAAAATAAGCTCATCGATATTACTTCAGACTTGAAATACCTATTATGAAGAGCCCTCGTTTTTCAATCGTACGTACATACGTATTTCCGGAGACAGAGATCACTCTCGCGCGCCTCAGGAAGCTCGCGGGAGCAGCATTCGTGCTTACGGGAGCACCAGGAGGTTAAATGGCTCGTATAAACCGCGGTAGTTTAATTTGTCGAGCACGCGTGTCTTCAGCGAGCGAGCGAGCGCGTGCGTGCGTAAAACACAATGGATTCGCCGCTTGACGGAAACCGCCGTTGCCACCGCCGACAACGACGACGACGACGACAAACGTGCTAATGGACGTTGACTTACCGCGTTAGACTTGGGTTTCGACGCGGCCACGTAGGCTAAATATTGAATCACTTTCTTTGTGTTCTCGGTCTTGCCGGCGCCGGACTCGCCGGTGCACAAAATTGACTGATCTTCGCGATCTGCAATAAACAGAATACTGATGATTGTAGACTATTGAAAAGAATATACTTAGCCCTGTTGATTTGTTCCAATTTACTATGAGCATACTATTTAAATCAATATGTAATTTAAAAAATTCTGAAAAATAAAAAATAACAAATTTTTATAGAAAAAAAATCTCAGATTAACAGACAGAGTCATTGAATACCAAAGAAAAATTTTAAATAAAATTTTTAGTAGAAAATAAATTACATACTTTGAATAAAATACATCCGAACAGACTATAGCAGGGTTAAATATATTTAGATATAGCTTAGGATATAAGATTTCTGCGAGAGTTGTTTAAAATGTAATACATATTTCATGCAGAATAATACAAAAAGTTAAGGAATAATAATGCCTGATATAGTAAAACTTCGGAAACTGAACATAAATAGTGCAAAATAAAGATAATGTTGATTGTAATTTTCATTTTCTTGTCACGCAAGATTAAAATAATTAAGAATTAAACTTTGCAAATAAATTAACATAACATTTTATTATCGCAAGTATAGGTTTAAATAAAAGATACATTTTGCCAATTCTCATTCTTTGAACATTAGATTTTAATGTATCAGCTAATAATATTAATTTGATGCAAAATACATAACTAATAAAACTTTTTAATTAAGTTGATTATGTCGTTACCTTGCAACATAGAACGATAAGCCGTATCGGTAATGGCAAATACGTGTGGTGGCACTTCGTGTCTCTTAATACCTTTGTACCTTTCCATAATCTTCTCTGTATATATTGGCAGTCTCTTATAAGGGTTTACTACGACGCAAAAGAGGCCGGAATATGTCTGTAACAAGAAAGGGTTTCGATTATGTCAAGTTCCATATTTATAAAATCTAATTAGTACAGTTAGACCAGGGCTTCTTAAGCGTTTTTTTTTTTCTTTTTTTCGAGAAACAAAAGCGGAAGACTTGTCTTGTTTATTAATTAGTAGAGTTAAGACCAGTTCATAATCGGTTCCTTAGAAGATTGTCTCAAAGTACAGTCTTAAGATGTCATGAACCAATGAAAGAACAGCATTAGAATCTTAAGACATTACTTAAGATAATCTTGAAATAATAACGGACTTAATATTTTCATCTGTTCATATCTCTCAAGTAGAACATTATTTCTATTTTATTGATTAATTTTTAATCGAACCGATTGCTTCATTTAGCTCTCCCGGACTTAAATAAAAGTGAAAGCATTCGTACGCGGATCTATTCACGTGACCTAATTGTTTTGGCGGAGCATTGTTTCCGCTGACGCTGATAAACATTCCAGGAATTCTCTCGTGATAGTGCGAGAAGCCGCTGGAACGGCACGTAAAGCTCGATGGAATGTCCGATCGATGACGTCACATTCACCATGCGATGCCGGTTCGCGAGCGGGAGGTAGAGAGCGAAGTAGCAGAAAGAGGCCGACATATACTTCTGGTTCGCCGTTCTCCGGCGTCTTCTACCTCCGCGCTCTCCCTTTCTCGTTCGGTCGCGCGTTCTCTCGCACGTTTTCTCCGCTGCGCCGACATACACATGTGCATGCGGGTAAGTCGACTTCGCTATACGACCGGTGGTCCTGAAACCGAGAGCCTTGACTCTCGCTCCTATCCTCGATGAAACGAACCATTTCGAGGAATCGAGTCCGAGTCGACAGGTAACCGGCTTTAAATTCACAGATAGACCATAAAATTTTGTACGATTTACGGAGAGCAATATTTTCGGCTGTCAGATGGTTCCATCACATTTGATGAGTGAGTCAAGTAACGGAGATACGTCTATGTGCATTGGTTGCATGGTGGATTTCTTGAACAGTTTGAGATTTCAAGATAAAAAACTTACACGAAGGAATATAGTCATCATGTATATGTAATCATGTACACATACTGTTACATTTTTCATCATATTCTTTCAGAAAAATTATTTGAAACTTTAAAGGATAACAACATAATACCGGTTTTGACAAACGTCTTATCTAAATAAGAATTACTGTTCTGATTAAGAAACATTTAATCCATTAATTCTTATGTAATTTCGGCCGTAAAAAACTTAATAACATTTTCGTTTAATCTTTGACCGATAAATACTGATAACAAAATATAAAATTATCAAGTTAGATTTAATAGGATTCTTGATTATGTTGAACAATGTCATTGATATCATAATGTAAACTTTCCTCTAAGATGATTTACTTACAAAACGTACATTATCATTTATATACTTTTTTATAATATTTTATGATAAGATAAAATCTTATCTAAAATCTTATCCGGAAGCATATTTTATTCTCGATTAAAAAATACACTTAATTTAATTACTAACGTCGATCAAAATTATCATCTAGTTTTACTATCTAATGTCTAGTTTTGTCTGACAAGCTAAAATAAATTTAAATTGAACGTATAAAGTGGTCCGCTATTGTAATTTGCATAAGTTTAGTAATTTACGATTCAGTTCGACCGGATCGAAAGTGTTTATCGTAACACAGCATTTCACTACCACAAGGATATCCGTTAACAAGCAAATAAATCATGTATCTCGCATATACAGGCAGCGGCAGCAGACAGACCTCTATGACTGACTAACGAAGGGATGGTTAATCTCTCGAGTGCGATATCGAAACAGAGCAAAGTTATTTAACCTTTTATCAGTGCGAGCAAGTGCACGCGAGTATCATTCACGGTTGTCTCGTAACTTGCAATATAATTACACGTTTTCCCCTTGACTGTCTCTTGCATTAGATCTGTTTAAGTTGCTTGCACTTTTTGCACTCAGAATCTTCACTTTCTCTTTAACACCTAAGTATATTTATTTCATTTTAAGTGCAACCATTTTTGGAAATTTCAAGCAATGCAAACGTTCCAATTGCGATGCTTACATGCGCTTTCTCTGCGAATTATGTTAATTACAATATGTTGTTAGATATCGAAGGAGCAATGGTAATCTAATTACTTGAGTTAAATAACATTTTGTTAGATATACTTTTAACTTCCATATGTGTGAAAATATAAATCAATTTATTTCTGTGATTAGTTTCAAAGTAAATATCGTCCATATTAACGTATGCAGTTATAATAATAAATAATAAACTAAATTTGAGTCAAATTTAATACATTTTCTTGAGTTAAATTGTTTAATTTTTTAGTCAAATTAACGACCGAATTATATATTAGATAGAAGCAGTGATGATTTATAAAAATAATTAAAAGTAACTCAAATTGGGTCTAATTTGACGTTATGAATTTAACAGTGTATCCTACACGATTCTCGTCACATTATGTAAAAAAAAGTAGATATTGATTTACAAAGACAACTTTGAAAAATTACGAAATAGGGAAAAATATTAATAAGTTGATCGTAATATATATAGCTGAGCCATCCTTCAACGAAGCAATTCTCTCGTACGTAATCAATTTCGATTACTTATACCTACATTTTATGCAGAAAGACAGTTCGCACAGCCTACGCGTGTACGCGTGAATTATCGTTGTTTACGCATAAACGCCCAACATTGATATCGTTGCGACAGTCGCAAACGATATTCGTCGGCGGGAGACAGCGCGCGAGCGTAGGTGTTAATAAACGTTCCTCTCGCTTTTATCTGCCTTCCATTAAACACGCGCGCGATGACGCACTTAATTGCGTGAGTCCACTCAAATTATTCACGTTGTCATTATAGGGTCGCTAGATAATTCCTCAGGGAGATTGTTAGCCACTGCTTCATTAAGTTCCAAACCCGCGGACACGTTGTTCTTCACGACGACGCAGATTGAGCTCTCCGGGCATTTTTTCGGCATTACCCATCTCGTCGCCGTCGCTGTTTTCTTGCTCTTCGCGCTCGTCGTATGTATATCCACTTTCAAAGGTCGCGACGAATCACCGCGCCGGTTGCCTTCAGAACTGCCTACAGCGTGATTCACACACATTCGCTTTCCCCGGTCCACTCTCGGACTCTTGCAGCTACCCGCGTCATCATTCGTGGAAGAAGTCACCCGGAACCGTTACCGGGTTTATTTATTCTCCACGGCGTGATTTCCACGTTAATTTGCCGCGTACTTTCGTAACTCTTCTCATTATGGAATGGTAAACAGCGGTCGCAGTTAACTGAGGTTTATTATCGTATTTCTCTGTCTAATTCCGCAACAAGAAGAGATGGAGAATAAGTTAGAGCTCAGTTAACTTTAAATAATATTTGCAGCCGCATTCATCTCATGACACAGCACATTTGTTTTCTCATAGAAATCTGATCAGTCATAGTATGTGTCGGTGCTCCATAACTTTCTTTATTATCCAATCCAGGAAATGAATGAATCAAATAAAATGAAGCGATTGCAGCTATTAATTCGTATTTCTCTGCGTTGAATTTTTCATCTAAAAATGTAACCTCATTTTTTTTATCAATTTCAATGTAATGCATGACGCTTCATAAAATTCTTTTCTTTTTCTTGCAACTTAAAAGGAAAATATCATGCTACTAAAACAAAGTTAACATGCCATATTCTTTTGCCAGTTTTGGTTTTCTAGTATAAAAAAATGTGGAATTCTTTATTTTTCCAAGGAACTGTAGAACTACGAAAAGTGTTTACTTACTATATTATTTATTTTTTTATATTAATAGAACGTCATACTAACTTTTAGATCTACTATCTGGTATTTCTTTATAACTACATATTTATATGATAGAAAAATAAACGCTTTGAGGAATGTTAATTTAAGGATCGATCGCCTCGTGTCCTCGAAATTTATGACTTTTCTCCTTGGCATTATTACGAAGCGTCATTCTCGCGTTTACGGAATCACGGTTTAAGCGATTCATCGCGTTTGCATAAAATTACGCGAATCAATAATCGAACTTCGATTCGATGCAATGTGCTTCGAATTCCGTCGTAAGCCGCAGGAACATATGGAACGGAAACCTTTGTCCTCCTTTCCCAGGCAGGACTGTTCTCGTTCAGAGGTCCTCAAAAACCGGTCGGTACTCTCTCGGGTGTCATCGACCCTGCCCAACATTCCTGTTTATACCTCGCCGACGCGACGTGACGGGTGCCTTCTAAGCAAATCCGCAGCCGACGTGATCGCGATGTGCGTTACATCTCAACGAAACCGACATCTTTTACCACAAAGGTACAGCAATCTCTAAATGTACGCGGAGGTATGCTGTCAATAGTACTTGCCGAGTCCAGAAGGTCGAGATAAACAAACTGTGACGGGACGCGATACTTCAAGTTTACTAAAATCTTGTAAAAAAAATTCCATGAGAATTCGCGGATTTTTTCCAAGTGTTTTTATTCAAAATTCCAGGTAAGAGATTAAAGAACATTTCAATATAACTTTAGAAATAAGTTGGAATGCAAATAAACTACATATAGGTATATTAAAAATTAGCAAAGGCAGACATTCCGTAAAATATCTACATCATTTTATGCAATTGGAGTCACGAAGCAATAAAGAAGCTCACTATACTTAATATCAGTAATAAATCTTATTGGACCGTAAGAGTTTTAAACTAAATACCGATGAAAACATGCCGTAACGGTCAAGCTAAATCTTGCATGCTTCTAATATAATTTTATTTTATTTTAAGAATCTACATACATAGTATCACACGAAATTATATTAGAAGCATCCAGCTTGACCGTTACGGCATGTTCTCATCGGTACTTAATATCAGTAAGTTACTCTATGCTGCAAAATATTTTTTTCAACTCTGATTGTTGAGTAAAAATACTCGCAAGACACATGAAGAAATACATGAATATAACGTGTGAATGTGTACGTCATACTTATTGCTAATCGATTATGCATCAACATT